AAAAATAATACATGCAAAATTTCACATACATTTTATATATATTTCACAAGCTTCTAGAAGTGAAAATATTATATATACAATTTCACACACTTTTCACATGCTTTAAAAGGTGAAAAAAGTGATGCATCAATTTCACATATATTTCACTTGTATGTCACATTTTCATTTGATCTCACATGTCATTTCATTCACATTGCAATCCCATGTGAAAATTTACTTTTAAACATTTCACATACATTTCATACACATTTCACATACTCTCTTCCAGTTTGAGCAAATGAAAAAAATGTCGAAAAAATTGGTTAATGGGGCTGCTACTACTCAGCGATCCCTGAACTTAAACGTTCGCTTGAGAAAAGATATCACAGTTTTAATGATAACTTCTTGTATTGTTATAAATTCCGCCCACAGGAGTATTTGTCAGCAAAAAGAATTATCCATCGCGATCTCGCTGCTCGTAACATACTGCTAGCAACTGACAACCTGGTCAAAGTGGCTGATTTTGGACTTTCTCGTCAAACCACGTACAAGTACCAAATCTACCAGGCACAGGAACGTCGTAAGCTGCCTATTAAATGGATGGCACCGGAATGTATTTTCGAAGAGACCTTTACAGCCAAAAGTGATGTGTAAGTATCTTGTATTGAAATATCACGAATAACTACTAACATATTCGTCACGTGACTATTGGTAATTGTGTTATTSCATCATAATAACATGTAAAAGAAATCTCGACAAATCCTCAAATATTAATGTAGGATTAGACCACTTTACTGGCAAATCTACTGAAGTCGAGAATGAAGCAGAGAATTAATTGATTGATGAAAATTCTCTGCCTTACATATTGTATAGCATGAATGCCATATTTTTTCGTATATTTTTTTTACAGATGGTCGTATGGAATAGTTCTGTGGGAAATATACTCTCTTGGTAAGCATGAATGTAATAGCTCTTCCATCAGGGTTTCTCTTGTTCTCACTGGCACTATCATAATCATAAATATATTGCTTTTTTTTAGGTGGAGCTCCCTACCCAACTATCTCTAACGCCCAGCTACCAAACCAACTGAGAAAGGGTTATCGAATGGAGAAACCAGACCTCTGCCCAGATGACATGTAAGCAGCTATTATTATATATCGATAACCAAATATTACTAAATGCCGACGCCATGTTTATATCATTTTTTCCCCAAATTCCCAAATTGTATCATAAATATGTACTTTGAGGTAGAAACAGCCGGAAAGATTCAAGTCTCTTTATACATGCATCAGTACTTTCGGAGAACAATGCGTCCGCCATCTTGAAAAGTGAGACCGGAATCACTATTTTGTGCCTTAGAACACATTTCGTAGTTTCTAAGTCAACGTATCTATCATTGCATCGTATAATAATAACTTGACATTAGCTGAGAAGTTTTTAAATCCTTTAGGAGTTATGATTTAGTGATTCGAAAAGTGGGACGGTCCCACTTTTCAAGATGGCGGACGCATTGTTCTCCGAAAGTACTGATGCATGTATTACAATATCTGGAAATCTCACAGTGTTACGCGGCTTCCGGCCCACGCGAATTTGGTTGAAAAATATCGAAATATAAGTTACCTACAGAGTTTGAAAATGCAAATGACACATAAACATTTATTCAACATAGGTATGAAGTTATGATGAATTGCTGGAAAGGTCAAGTCGAAGAGCGACCCACGTTCACTGACGTCATCCAAACTGTTGAGACCCTGATGACACGTGACAATCCGTACATTGAGTTCACGGGAATCGATGAGAGTAAGGAGCAGTGTTATTTGGTGCCGTCTTTCAATAGTGCTCCCGATGATTCYGAAGATGAAGATGAAACATTGGTATGAGTTCCTTGAGGAAGATGGGATAAAAAAAGAGCAAACAGGATTTAAAAAAACAAATTCGCATTAAGCGATTGAAGTAGAAGTCTAAATACTATATAGTGTAATGAATATAATAATAACAATAATAAAACGGTGGCAGAATGTCAAATAACTCATACTAAGTAATAATTGTCTTTGATGGAATAACAAACTGAGAATAGAAGAAGAGGTAGAAGTTTCATTAACAATATTAATTAGTAATCATTATAAATAAAGTATATTCTCAAAAACGTCCTGACAAAGAAAAGACACACATCCTGACAGAAAAAAAGGATAAAACCTTAACAGGGACAACACTGCAGCTGTACTAATTTTCTAAGTAAGCTTTTTTTGTGTTTGAATATAACTTTCTTGATTGCTTCAACTCCATCGAGTTTGTGACTAGGTAMCAATCCCTTGTAATGGGATTGACGCACAATGTTTCACTTTCAAATTCAAATAGACTTTGTGTTGATAATTAGGTTAGGAATAGTCAGTCTATTAATTTCTAATTCGTCGCAGATGTGCTCCAATAGTCCAAATTATGCGAACAAAAAAATTAGTTTGAATGTTAATGTTGCTCAGCAAATAAAAGACAGTTGCATCAAAAATCCAGAGTGAATTTCCTGACGCACTATWCTACGGTAAAAAGGGGAAAACAGGTAACATTGAATTACAATCAATAATGTTGAAAGGAAAAGAAAACCATTCATAAATTGATGAGAGGGAAATTGAGAGGGGAAATGTAGATAATGAGAACAAGAAATATCATGTCAAAATTGACAGAAAGCGATGAAATAATACATTGAGAGAGGAGAAAAGATAAAAGAAATGGATACAATAGAAAAACAAATCATAGAAAAGATAGACAAAACAATAACACAATAACAAAAAAGAAAAACATTCAAAATAAGGAAGGAATTAAAGGACATTTTCATTATTTTAAATGGGAAATTGAGAAGGAAAATGTAGATAATGAGAACAACACTTATAGACAGAAAAGCAATGAAACATTACATTGAGAAATGACAAAAGACAAAAAAAAATGGATAAAAAGAAATAAAATCAAAGAAAAGATGGACGAAATAACAATGCAATAACGAAAAAGGAAGAAAATCCTTCAAAAAAAGGACAGTTTCACATTTCAAATGGATAAACTATAGAACTGTTTAAAAAAGATTCTGTACATAGTATGTGCCTAAGCGCGTCAGGCAAGAAAAAAAGAATAAAAGTAAAGGTTTAGGTTATACGGAGCAATGCCATATTTTTTTCTGAAGTTCAAGAAATACTGTTTGATACTAAATTTTTTTAAGGTGTTCATTACATGGCAACATTTCCCCATTTGCTTAGCAACTGGTTGCCCTTTAGGTCTTAGGTTAAGGCTGGGTCCTGAATCTTCATCAGATTCCTTCTGTTTGGTWTTTGATTAATTACAACTGYAAATATATGTTCTCGCCAGCATAGTTTCTTTCTTAGGGTTTTTTTTGGTGGAAAATATTTTAATTAAAATTTAATATTGAAGCATTTGAACGATATACCTTATTTTCACTATAATTTTGCGTAAAGCTACACACTATATTTCGCGATGATCTATTTTCCTGTTTATATCTTATTTCGTGGAAGAATTGAACTTAAATCAACAGCTGGTACACAAGTTTAAATTGATCTGTCAAAATGAAAGGAATGCAATTTCGCTGTAATCATCCACAAATATAGAATCGACTGGACAAATCGTCATAAAATGTCTTCTCTTGGATATATATTTCAACAACAACTAATGCTGTTTTATCTAATTTTTTTCATTTTTTGTGGAAAATATCTCCAGTTTAATATCGGAGTGTCTAAACGTCAAGCAGCCTGACGTTTAGTCCCAGGACTAAACAGGCAGTCATTTTTTTTTTTTTTTTTGAAAAATCGTCGAAACAACTGTAATTTTAATGAATTCAACAAGAGAAATGCAATAAAGAYCGAAAAAACACTGTTCGATAAGTTTGTATACACAGCACGCGGAATCATTGAGATTTTTCGACTTCCTGACATTTAGTCCCAGAACTAAACGTYAGTCAGTCGATTTTTTTGTGTGAAAAGTCGTCGGAACAACTKTAATTTCAATTAATAGCACAAGAGAAAGACCGAAAAATTAATTGTCGTAAATTAGCAGTGAGAAGGGCAGGTGGAAATTGAAAAGTGGGTACTGGGAATAAGGTGATGACAATACCAGAGTTGTGGAATTTTCTAGCCTTCCCTGTATCAGACCATCCCCCTTCAACCATTACCACAACAATTTATCATTGCCTCCAAGCAGCCAGTGAAAGATAGTGCAGGGAATATAATTAAACCATTGTTTCTTCATTTTTTTGAAGGGATAATGATTAGTATATTTGATAGGCAGTTAATAATAATAATAATTGGTTCACACTTTGAATAGATAAAAAAGTGTTCTATTTGGTTCAATAGCCACAACAACACTAAGACAAATAAACAAAGTATATCAAATGTATAAAGTGAACAATACTTAGAATAGATGYATCAAATGTCCTAATCAACTGCCTATCAAATATCCTAATCCTTATCCCTTGAAAATGAAGAAAGAATGGTCCAATTATAGGCCCTGCACCAATCACTGGATGCTTGGGGACAATGATAAATTTTTCAGTGGTAATAGTTGAAGGGGAGGGTTRAAGGCAGTCGAAAAATCTCAAAGTGCCGTGCTTGTGACTTGGGCTTGTGACTATACAAAYTTGTCGAATAGCATTATTTCGGTCTTTATTGCATTTCCCYTGTTGTATTAATTAAAWTTATGRTTGTTCCGACGATTTTTTAAGAAAAAATTCGACTGCCTGGCGTTTAGTTCTGGGACTAAACGTCAGCCTGCCTGAAGTTTAGACACTCMGAWTTAATATTGAAGCGTTTTGTCAATACCTTGTTGGAACTTAATTTCGCGAAAAGCTACGCGCCATATTTCGCATATTTTGAGTGACGAAATTAGAATTAACATCTCTTGAATTCAGCAACATTTTCTATAATCAGTAATCTCGGAATTTGGTGTGAAAAAAGTAACATAAAAATATAATCATACTTTTTTAATTATAATGCTAGATGATGAAAAAACTGTCGAAGTTTACACTACTGAATTAATGGCCTTTTCCGTTTTAGTGAATTCGGTTACTAAAAGAATACAAAGGGAAGTAATGACATGTATGACTCAGAGTGCCCATCGATGTTTTTAAACTAACATGATGTATGTGACAACACCCAATCATTTAGATGAAAACAGCTGTTATGATCATGATCTTGACACTTCCAGCGTATTACTGCATGCAAGGCAACTTTCAAATTGCCTTTCAAAAATCATTGAACATTTGGCCTTTTTTTCTCCCATTTTTTTTATTTGATAAACACAAGGAGAAAGCTTTTGACTAATTAAAATACCCGAWATAAACTATAACATACACTATTTACGTAAATAACATTTTGCCTTYGTAAACTGTCTTGTTTTCTTTTTACCGCCATTTTTAATATTTTTTAATACAGAAATACATGGGAAATTAGCCACGTTCCCAATGATTAAGCACAGCAAGGGTGTTTACGCGTGCTTCGGGATATACGTAAATTCATCTCTTTAAGAAATGAACTTCGACCACATGAAAGATCATATCAAAATAACTAGTATGTTTTGCGAGTTTACGTATTTTTTATTGACGACGGCTGAATTTTGTAGCYGATTCCTCGAGAAGGGAGCAGCCAATCAATTAAGAAATGAGCGAGCCTGCTCAACTGTTAACATAACCCTGAGAGGAAAACAAATTGTTTGAAAACAAAAAACAAAAAACAAAAACAAAACAAGACACACCAGGGTAGGGTAAAAAAGCCGTCTTTTCGATCATTTCCAAATGCTGTGGAATACAAGTATTTTTCTATATTCSACTTCGGAGACAAAAATACAAACTGTTACAATTGATTATCATCGATACTAAAGTCACGACTTAGTAAACAATTTTGATGCTGTAAAACCGACTGACAAACATACGATCACACCCTTCGCCAGGGGCACACACATTTTGCTTCCGAAAAATTAATAATAAATCGGTAAGATTAAAATAAAATGAAAAATACAAAAAATCGATGATCAGAGCTCGACTATACTGTGACGGAATCAAGTTGGAAACGTTTTAAAAAGAGTCAATTTCGCATGCCTCCGGACCCCCCCTATAAAAATCGCGCCTTGCAYTTAATTTTGAGACATATCATTCTTTTCTTTTCAATTATTCAYTCTTTTTGGTTGGGCTACGCATTTTGTACCTTTTGTTCACTATTTTTGTATCTTATATTAAAAACGCAAAATACTTACTTCCTAGATTATTTTTTTCTTAATATCCAGACTCATCTTTTTCAGATAAATTTGTTAATTTTAGCGATAATCGAATCACTTTATGACATAGGAAAAAGACTATTCAAAAATTGCATTACCAATATTCAGTCTTCTAGAAGCCTTAAAGAATTTGTTGAAACTAATTCTTGTAAATTTGTCTTCGGAAATAAAGTGTCGCGATTGTAACATTTTAAACCAAAGAGTTACCGGTATATTCACTTAAAACAAAATAAATTTCCAGCAAATAACTAAAAACGTGATGTCAGGAAGGTCCTTCTGTATTTTTTCTGTCTTTCAGGAAATGTATTGTACCTTCCTTGTTGGACTTTTGCTTAGTATCACCGGAACATCACATACAAATGGACAACAGAACTCACGAGTAAAAGTAACTAATGCAGGTAGATGTAATTTGAAACTATGATCTCGTTTGGTTATGATATTACTCGCCTGTGATGCATCGGGTGTYCAGCCGATTTCTGAATGTTAACGACCTAGATTTAAAAGGAAAAAGAAACGACTCATTGACTACAATTCTGGACAAAAAGGCTGAAAATAATTCACCATCCAACAAAGTTCTACATAACGTCAGTCTCACCCCTCCCCCCCTCTTTCGTTCCCTTACCCTCTCCTCYCCTCCCCTCCTCAAGATAGTGTTGTTGGCACTCAAATATCATTCGACAACAAGTATGTGTGATTTTAAAAACACAAYTTTTAACGAAGGGGGATAGAGGGGGATTTACAGATTCCGCGCAATCTTCGCAAAAAGATGCGATTTTACTTTCTCAGCTCCTTTCGTCCTAGATTGTCGCACATCAAACAATCATACACAAACTGCATACAGAACTCCCTTTATAACTAGATCTTCTAGGATATCAGCTTGATTTCTTCTTTTTTTTTAAGGTTGTTCTGGTAAAGGAAGGTCACACCAAATCAAACCCCCAACTGTGTTGCGATTCAATCTCCGAAAAGCTTCTTATGTTGATCTAAAGAGACAWGTGAACTGTGAATGGTTGGTGAATGTGCCGTGTGATAACGTGGTGTTCGTCGGATTTAACAATATTTCGTCATCATCCAACCAGTCTCTTTGGAAGAACGACTGGCTTGAAATTTATGATTCTACATATAAAACAAGAAAAATAAAATGGCGATGTAATATGCATGAAATGCCGACATTTTTGTCTTCAGGTCGCAACATGTTCATAAGATATGAACATTCTCCCACATCAAACGGAAAAGAAAGAAATTTACAAAATTTTGAATTCACGGTTGATCTGAAAGCAATTCCAATTAATGACGCAAGTGAGTATCGAGAGGAGAGGAGAGGAGAGGAGAGGAGAGGAGAGGAGAGGAGGAATGTATTATTTTCTGTGAACATTTTGATGACTTTGTCAATTCATTCATTCCTAGGATGTCCGCCATCAATCGTGAAGAAACTTGACTCAAAAATAAATAAAGCCAACCACATTATGTCCCGGAATTTTCCAAACTATTCACGACTTGACCAGTTCTGTACATGGCTGATCACATCGCCAGAGCAACATGTAGTTCATCTCCGATTCCTGCACTTCACAATAGATGATTCACTTGGATGTGATAAAAGTTACTTCGAAGCACGAGATGGCGAAAGATCTGATAGTCCTGTATTGGTGAAACTGTGCGGTAGCGACTATAGATGTCCAATTGTGTCATCGGGTCGTTACATGTGGATCAGATACAAGACTGAATTGTCTAAGATGAACATCTTCCGTGCAGCTTACACTGCCGTGGACCAAGGTAACTACAACCAGTCACTTGATCAACAAAGAGAATTGTTTAACTGTTCTAGTTGATGCTGCCTTTGTTAGTGATTGGCTAAATTGTTCTTTTAATAAGTTATTGAAGCAAGTTATATAAAAACTGACAAATATATAAAAAAGGTAGTGACTTAATTAAAGTATTTCATTTTACCTTTTATTCTTGAAGTTCAATGCCAACGTTTGAGGCCGTTCGGACACTCATAAATTTTAAATGATTAAAATGATGCAATATATAAAATATCCAACAGATGATGCTCRCCCAGTAACAKTACTCAACAACAGCAATACTGAATTCAGCGTGTCTATAACCAAGGAAAAACATGAAAGAAAAGACAACGTAACCTGTTCATGGGCCTTTAAGCTTGCAAAGGGTAGACATCTAAATGTAACACTGACGCCGACTGCAAAACAAGAATGCGTCCAGGAAAAATTAGAAGTCAAARGTGGAAAAAGCCTTCAGGATAGTCTTAAAGGAAATTCATTAATGTTGAGCTCGACAAGAAATGAAGCATTCAGWACGTTTCATAAAGAAACCTACTTGATGTTTCGTCTCKTCCCTAATAGAAAAGGAAAAAGTTGTCCATTCAAGATACAACTAAATACTTGGATTCCAAAAATAGGTATGAAAACGTTGAGGATGTAACCGTGATCGATAWYTTTTTGGTCGCATKATTAGAGTATATAGATGCAATTAATTAAGTGTTTATTATGCTAATTAAAAATTCCTTTGTTTTCCATTGGCTTCTTTTGCATAATTTAACAATAGCTCMAARATTCAACAAWGAAAATATGCCCTGCTGCGTGACTTAATTCCGGTGAATATATGTGCATAGTGTAATGTAATAATTCGGAAAAAATTGTAGCTTTGAATCGATTTATCTCAAAATAATGTTTCTTGAATCCTGCAAACTACGATAATTTCGTAAGATTCACTAGTTTGCATTCAAATCATAGAAACAACAACAGAACGACCAACAACAACAGCAGTAACAACAACAACAAAAGCGTCAACAGTCATGTCAACTTCCTTGCGCACAACTGCCACGACTGAAGCTGTCACTCAAGCGCCTGTCGCTTACATCAACCAAGTGCCGGCCAAAATCCCTACTTGGACCATTGCTGGAATTGCTTTAGGTACTGCAGGATGTGCTTTACTTTTGTTTGGATTGTTGCTCTTTATCATTCGCAAGAAAACTAAAGCAAGGAGGTACAAAAGGTAAGCGACACATTTATGCTTTGGTCTTCAAATGGATGAAAAGCCACAAATGAGAGATGTTGACAATTGTCCATGAAAACATACAACAATTTGACCCAAAAAAAAAACAGAAAGAAAGTGCAAGCGCTCCGAAATAAARATTAATTCAATGACATCCTGGGTATGAGAACAACTGTTGTACAGGTCTTTTTTTGTCTTTATTTGTTGTTGTTTCTGTTGTTTTTTTTTTTTTTTTGCCTAAATAAATTTTAGGAGCTTAGATTATTTAGCCCCTCAAAAACGTGTTTTTGATTGTGAAAATTTTAGTTTCTTGTAGTGAAAAATGATATTTCTGGAAGTATTTTAAACTTAGCTTGTTCTCAGCCACTTGCTACTTTCACGTTCGAGCTGAGACATAAGAACAAATATATTTCTCACAGAATCCCGTTGGCTCCTCCATGTTCGTTGTCAGATGAAATATATATATATATTATATACGTCTTTTGCCGATACGATAACACATTTTGAGAGCTGACCATTAAATCACAAAACTAATATTTTCTTATTGGAGCTAATTGATAGTTTCATATTTTTTTCAAATTTGCTAGAAATATAGACGATTGGGAAATTCCATCAAACAAAGTAGTGCTGCTAGAAGAGCTCGGAGAAGGAGCATTTGGTAAAGTATGGAAAGGATACGTTCGTAGGAAAACCCTCCGAAACAAGACAATACTAGCTGAAGTTTGTGGAAAAAGTGGGTCAAAAACGACTGATGAAGAGTCTATGGTGGTCGCTGTGAAGACACCACACAGTCGTAAGCTTAAACGATTTAGCCAATACAATACAAACAATATATCGTATATAYAATATCGTATATATAATATACGATTGACTTTGTATCACATAAAAAATCAAACATTGAAAGCCAATGTTAAAAAACGTCTCAACTAAGATTCACTGATTCTGTTCGAAGGCGAAGAAAGCGATGACGAAATGAAGAACGTAATGAGGCACGAACTTCTTCTTGAAATCGCGTTCATGAAGACCGTCGGTTACCACAGGAACATCATCTGCATGCTTGCTTGCTGCACGTTGGAGGATAATGTGCTTTTGGTTGTGGAGTTTGCCGAAAATGGAGATTTACTGACGTTCTTGAGRAATACTMGGARAAAGGCGAGTTTTCAGATGTGTATGACGACATGCCTATCTKTCTTATTTCTAGAATTAACGTAATATYTATTTTATTTTACAGATGACAACACGGAAAACTCCTGAAGTTGAATTGGAAATCCATGAAGATCRAGTCAGCATAAGTTCCCAAGATAGCGCGGAGAACGGCTTTCCGATAGCAAAGTTACAAACTGAYTTCCTGTCATTTTCCTGGCAGATTGCCCAAGGAATGGTAGGTTACCCTTTTATGTATTTKTCAGCGAAAATATATTTTTCATAGTATTTATGGCGTCGATTGCTTATAGCATCTTTAATTTTGTGGATATTTATCAGGAATATTTGACATCTAAAAGAATTGTCCATCGCGATYTCGCTGCTCGTAACATACTGCTAGCAAMTGACAACCTGGTCAAAGTGGCTGATTTTGGACTTTCTCGTCAAACCACGTACAAGTACCAAATCTACCAGGCACAGGAACGCCGAAGGCTGCCAGTAAAATGGATGGCACCGGAGAGCATTTTCGAAGAGACCTTTACAACGAAAAGTGATGTGTAAGAATAACAAATGTTTTACATGGATACAAATATTAAAAATAATTATCGACAAATCGGGCATTTGCTTATTATTGGTTATGTTATTTCAGTTAATCATAATTACATGAACACAAAAAAGTTCTTGCAAATTCTTCTTCAATGCTACTCAACTGAGCACACATTTAGTTTGCGTACCGCTGGTACTTCAAAATGTCAACGCGGCATATTGATACAATCAAGAATGAGCCATAAACAGAACTCAGATATAATAAACCATCATGCCTAATATATTTCTTAAATCGTAAATGTCATATTTTTTTCGCATCTTTTTCTTATAGATGGTCGTATGGGATAGTTCTATGGGAGATATACTCTCTTGGTAAGCATGTATTCAATGGATCCAACAGGGTTTCTTGAGKTCTGAACAAAAACAGCCTTACTGTCATATATATTAATGATAAAACATTATTTATGTATTACTYTTKTTTTAGGTGGAGCTCCCTACCCAACCATCTCTAACGCCGAGCTACCAAGCCAACTAAGAAATGGTTATCGAATGGAAAAACCAGACCTCTGCCCTGATGACATGTAAGTAACAAATAACAAATCAATACACAAGGGCTTCCGGCACACACAATTTTGGATAAAATCTCGAAAACAAAACGTTTTCATACTCCACTCAACTCGATACGTAGCAAAGGTTTTATAATAAATGAATATTTATAATTATCTATAATTCAGAATAATGTCGAAAAAGAAGTATAGAATTTCAATATATTCGTTTTAAACACTTATTCAAAATAGGTACGATTTGATGTCTAATTGCTGGAAAGGGCAAGMGGAAGACCGACCATACTTCAGTGACGTCATCCAAACTCTTGAGACCCTGATGACACGTGACAATCCGTACATTGAGTTCACGGGAATCGACGAGAACAAGGAATACTATATGGTGCCGTCTTTCAATAGTGTTCCCGATGAGTCTRGCGAGGAAGCTAGTGTCCCGGCATGAGATGACAAGAGAATCCCCGAAAAAATAGAATTGGAAGAGAAAAATAAGGAGACTAACCATAAATAAATTAAGTTGTAGTTTAAATTTGTCATTTTCGACATAAAAAATGATTTACATTGGAAACATGGCCAAGATAATTCCAAAAGTTTCCGTAATCTTGCTCATGGCCTGCTTGTATTCCCCATTTTTAATTTGCTTGTTTTTTCGTAGTCCATTATCTCAAAAATCTATTGTTTTGAAAGATTTTCGACCAATTTMAGATAAAGGTACAGAGTGAATAACAGCCTTTGGCAATGCCTTAAGTGATCGGCGTCGATAAACCACAATATTATCCAGTCTTAGAAAGTCTAAGTCTATAAAATGACGGTTAAGTTTGAAAATTTGACTGACTTTACCTAACCTTGATACGGTTAGGCCTTCCGTTTATATAACCCATAAAATAACGGAAATTGTAGCGAAAATCACCCGTATATTCATGAATAAAAAGCACGTATCTTCAAATTCAAAAACCCGATTTAAACAGATTCAAACGTTGTAGCTAAACCAAAATCTAATCCTTTAAATTTCTYCATATTTAATCAATACAAACAGTCAAATGACGAAAATTCTGGCAGCTAACTTAATACATAAATATATCAATAAATAGRGTGATTRATATTTCAAATATAAATYTTTAATTTGTTATAAAACTGTAGATTCTGCATGTCTTTAAAACACATAAATTCAAAGTATTTGAATGGTTTGCGATCTGTTTTAGCGAGAACAGAGATCACATGAAAGTACCCATGATGCACCTGATATTTGTTAGCGGTCAGAATTTTGCAAATGACTGCCTGTGTTCTGAAAGAAATTTGAAGAACTTGAAGGTTTTCAACCTTCTTTGCTTGATAAACATATCATAGACCAGTCGACTGGATTTATTTCATWTAATCCTTTATTTTAAAGCTTGACGCATTGCAATAACAAGCCCAAAKGTGACAATGATTTTTGTGTTTAAACAATGAAATTGCAATAAAGGTAGAAGGCAAAACAATGATGGAGTTTTTATGTGAACACGAAATACATCAACGACTCGGAAAAAGGCAAACAAGTTATCATTGACGACGTTATCAAATAATTAAATGTAGGAAAACAATGATACATCGTTATGTTTTTGAAAACATGTTTACTCGCTTACTTTGAGTACTGAAAATAACCTTTATCCAATCAYTTTAGATATATCTAAAAAAAACAGTGAAATCCTTTAGGCATCAYCRGGGAAGGTCGGGGGCATTTCATTTATGCTAGACTCTTTCCATGTTATTAAACCACCGAAGAAAGTTGAAAATAATTGTTTGCCGCATTTATGATTTGGTTCTTTAAGATGRCATAGTAGTTATCAAGTGTTGAATGGCTTATAATCCTCTCTCAATATCTTATTTAGGCAGCTTTTAGCCCTTGAATTAAAGTATAATATATTTTATTTCTTTTAGTCACTATCAACATTCGTAAAGAAAAAAACTCCGATCAGTGTGTCAGTGTGTGTCATGCGTAATTGAGACTAAGGCAGCGTAAAGAAGATTTCGGAAATGGAGTATTGACAGGGGCAGTACACAAACATGTAAAGGTGATTTCGACTGGGAAAAACTATTGTCAAATCACTGATTTGAGGCGCTATGTGAAACCTAGGCACAATGGAGAAACTGAGAATAAATGACTATTATTTAAGAAAATTTAATACGGCGCGCGTGTCTCTGTCCTCTKATATAAAGACCGCAGTGGGAGTTGAAAAACATGAGAGAACCAATCTTAGAAACATGAGCGTATCGAGTGTTTCTCTTGCTTCTCGAGTGYTTTTGAACTCTCACCGTGTTTATATCAGAGGACAGAGACCCAATCGGCCATTTTATAGTTCTTTTACTGCGTTTTTCTAGCGAAAAACAAATTTTGCCAAAAGCGGTGCCTCTGCCCTCTGATATAAACACGCTCGTCAGCCAATGAGAGCGCGCGTTATATATCGAAACTTTTATAGACCGTCCTATTGCGGGCTCAAGGTCTTAATTACAGGTGGTCACTAGAGCTAGTGTCTAAGTTTTGTTATAATGTGTTTGTTTCAGTTTGAAAAGAAAGAAAAAAAAACACTACAATAGCCTTTGCTTGAGCCAGCGACTTCCCTGATAGAGTTAACCAGCTTTTTAACAAGTTAGTATAGAGACTGTTTTAGTCACAAACCTTCTTACAGTACGCGGAATATTGCGAAAGATGCTGTCTTTTTTTTATGTCTTCATACATATGTGCTACTCATTTCATGCGTGATGTCGACTGGGTTATCAAAGCCACGAACATGATGGCGATTACGCTTTTCACTTCTATAATTTGAATTTTGATAGGATTGTCTTGACTGGAAGTGATCACTATGCCGACCGACGGAATGACGTTTTTTACCATCGCCTGTTTCTGTACTGTTATCATACGATCTTCCCTCGGGTGTTTTTTGTCTTTCTCTCTGTTGTGAAMGAGAAACGCCACGAGGCCGTTTTAGCGGAGCCTCATTCCCGTAATAAATTTYCCCWTTATCAAAATCATTGCTTGATTTTTTTCGTCTTTCAGTTTGTTTTTCGCTTTGTTTTTCAGAGAAATCGCGTCTTCTTTCATTGCGGAATTCATTCGATCTTCGTGTATGATCTTCTTTTCTTTGCCAGTTTCTTTCTGGTGATTTATTCACTTTTTCGGTACGTTTCTGRGGTRAATTTGGATTTGCCAAACGTTCACTATCGAMACAAGTTTYCCGTGTGTTTTTCCGTTCGGCATCCTGTGTGCAAATGTCTGGTGACTTTGCTTGTATTTTCTGATTGTATTTAGATACATATTGATCGCTTTCATCATTCCTTTGCTTTGATACATTTGGATATGTGAATCCTTGATTATCRAAACAATTCTGAATGTCTTTCAATCTGCCGTCACTGGGGCTACTTATTGGCACTCTTCGCGAATAACATTCAGGAATATCCTCGCTGGCCAGACTCTGTGGAAGCCGATTAACTATTGTTCCATTTTCCACGCTTTCCTTACTCGCTGTCTGGCTGGAACTATTTTTGTTGTTATTGTTATGCTTTCCACGATGTGTCTGACTCGAGGAGCTCTGCGACGCTCGTCGAGACACATCCTGACAACCGTTGCATAAACAAAKCCGTAAAACCTTCTTAAAAAAGGATCGAACTTCTTCGTTACGATACGCGTAGATATAAGGATTAATAGCGCTTGAACTATATTGCATCCACTTCACAAAGCGTATTAAGTGTTCACTTTGTATTCGAAWAATRCAAAGAGGGCAAAAGGTTGCAATGACAGTTGTCATAAAAAATGGTGCCCAAGCGATGATGAACACTCCAGTGATTACCAGCACCGTCACGAACATGTTGAATTCTTTAATGTTTCCTCCAGTTGAACCTATTCTAKTTTGCGTGCTGGATCTTCTTCGAGATTGATCTCTGCTGACTTTAAATATGTATGCGTAAACCACAATGATGATGATGAGYGGGAACAGGAAACAAGATACAAAGAGAAACAAGCTGTATTGGTTGTGCCAATTTGATTTTGCCTGCAAAGGTTGCAGGCCAGCTGCAAGTATGGAAAAAATCCATGCTATCGCTAACATGTACCAGTAAACTGACCTTCTTAATCGACGGTGTTTAAGTGGGGCTACCGTGAAATACAGTCTCTCAATTGCTATAGATGTCAACTGGAGTATTGATGCACATCCAGTCCCTATATCAATACAAATGTAAACTTCGTATAGCGGATCGCAATAMGCATCCATGAGRGAATTCAAAGTSGATATGTACGTCCAGTATGGCAGTGAGAAGACACCAATTAGAAGGTCACTCAAACCCAGACCACAAATAAATATATTAGTAGCCGTTCTAAGCTTTTGGTTTATAACAAAYGCTATAACGACAAGGCCATTGCCAAAGACGATCAAAGGGATTAAGACCGCATAAGAAAATGCAATAAGGACGGTTGTTGCCGAGCCTGACGGTCTGCCCATTCCATCACAAGAAAACTCCGCTGTAGACGAGTTTGAGGAGTTCGACATCTTGAAGTGTTTAAAGAGTCAAAATTCGTGATACGCCATGCCGAAATGTCCAACCTGACTTTACAAAACAATAGGGATAAATCCAAGATAATCTGCTTCTGACGGGGAAGTTAACCGGCAGAACAGTTGTCAAAGGTGCGTCCTTGAAAATGTCAACAAAACCAGGATCAGAGCTCTAGTCTTTCTTCATGCATGGGATACTTAGTAATCAGACCAGATCAAATCGACAGGTCACATCGCATCAAAATGCAAGATATAGTAAAAACATACAACTCCTAGGGGTTTTTTGAAAAGGGCTTTTCTGTAATGCCTGCATGTGGGCGAACTATATCGAACAAGGGAAACCTTTTCTCAGCCATTGGAGATCTAAAAGCTAAAAGCAGCGAGTTACTGATTATCTAAATAACAGCACACAAGCTTTTAGGGTCAGGAAATGAACTAATTTGTCGTAAAAATAATCATTTTATGCCTCGAGTGTTTACTATAAGACGTTTTAGAGAATATTTGCTTAATAACAAGCTTAGTCCACTTCAACATACTGCAATATAAATCAATTACAACACTGCTGGAATTACAATAATACAGTGAAAGCATGGCATTCCRMAAWA